TATTATTATGTCATGTTGCTTGAACCTTCTAATTTTTTCTTGTTTTAATTTAGTATTATTGCATCATAAAATACTTGTAGTGTGTAGATCATTCTAGGCCTCTGTCAATTTATAATATATATATATATGCATCCTAAATGTAGTTTGAGTTAGTTAGTTAGATAGATAGTTAGATCTAGACTGTGTGATTGTGTCAAAATGTAAAATATATATATTCTTCTTTTTTGATTAGTTTTTGTTATAATAAGAGTTAAAAGCATGTGATTGTAGGAAGCTTTGTTAATAATTCATTGATGTTGAGACAATCGAACGTCATGTGCAATACACTGCCGTCGAGAATATGGAAGGTGGACATACGATTAAGTGATAAAGATATAAATAGTGTGAGATGAGCAAAAACAGAGGAAAGTTACAGGCCAAGGAAAGTTTCGACATGAAGTTAACAACCGTAGAAGTAATAGGCCTAAGGATTGACATAGGCCTACCGTTTAATATGTTAGAGTAAGTCTAACAGTAGATAATAAGAAGAATTATTCCATCAAAAGCGTGGTTCTAAAGTAACTGAATCAGCCTGAGTGCACTTTGACAAAAGGAACAGAAGATACTTAGAAAAAAGAAGACCAAACGATTACGGTAACTCATGCCACAATTGTAAATGAATCACACACAGAATACTAGTGCAATAGTAATAGAGAAGATAGTTTGGCTTGTCAACTGAAATTTTTAAGTAACTGAATAGATCTAAGTGGAATTTTAACAAAAAGAAGAGAACTACATACACAGTGTTTAATAATATGCCTATAATCTCTAAAGTGTGAAGAATTTGTTGTACATACATTTAACTGTTCCAAATATATTTATTATTTTGAAAACAAGTGAAGAGTGTGGTGTTTAATTATCATTGAATTTATTGCTAACAAGTCAGAGACACCTACTGTATATATTTATACTATTAACAAATACAAGTAAAAGCCTTTTATTTTGACAATTGGCAATCCATACTTTAATAGTATAAAAGTTTTAAGTTCTTAATTCTACAAGAAAATATTAGTAGTCGACTATGCAACACGCTATCCAGAAGCAATAGCACTGGCAAAGATAGAGACAGAGAGAGAGTAGCAGAAGCCCTCCTGGAGATATTTTGCAGAGTAGGCTTTCCAAGAGAAATCCTGAGTAAAAGAGGGACACAGTTTACTTCAGAACTGATGCAAGAAGTGTGCAGACTTGTCAGTACTCAGCAACTCTTTACAACCCCGTACAATCTTAAATGTAATGGACTTTGTGAGAGAGTCAATGGAGTTTTAAAGAGTATGCTAAAGAAGATGTGCCAAGAGAGACCATATGACTGGGACAGGTACTTGTAGGCAGTTTTATTTGCTTATCAAGATGTCCCACAAGCACGTACAGGATTTTCATCCTTCGAGTTACTGCATGGAAGAACAGTACAAGGTCCGATGCAAATATTGAAAAAGCTATGGACGGGAGAAGAAGAGTCAGAAGTAAGGAACACATACCAGTACGTGTTGGACCTCAGAAACTGACTGAAGGAGACCTTTCAACTCACTTGACAGAGTTTGTATGCAGCTAAAGGCAATCAGAAGCATTTCTATAACAAGGAGGCCAAGGATAGACATTTCAAGGTTGGACAAAAGGTCTTAGTTCTGCTTCCCACAGACCACAACAAACTCACCCTGCAGTGGAAAGGACCTTTTGAAGTACAGGAAGTACTTAACAGAATGGACTACAAGGTGAATGTGAAGACCAAGATATACCATGCCAATCTGTTGAAGAAGTATTTTGGGATAGAAGAAGACCTAACGGATGCAGCTATTGAAACAGAGATGGATGTTGCAGGTGTAGCAGTCATAGATGCAGAACTATAAGATAGAAACTTTGTCTTAGAAAATGAGGACCACTAGGTAAAGATGAGACATACAAAGATGTCAATACCAGCAAAGAACTGACTGGCAAGAAAAATAAAAGCAATACAAGACCTACTGTGCCAGTACACAGATAAACCAGGAAAGACAGACTTTGTCCAACACAATATCGAGACCACAACCAGGGATCCAGTCAAAGTGAAGCTCTATCAGATGCCTTATGTTGTGAGAGACTTTATAAAGCAAGAATTAGAGACAATGTCAGAAGCTGGAATCATCAACCTTGAAATTCAGCCTACTGTTCACCAGTTGTAATTTTGAAGAAGAGGGATAGATCAAACCGTTTCTGCAAAGACTTCCGGAAGCTGAGCCTCGTGACAAAGTCTGACTCCAAACCTATGGGCAACTTAGAGGCCATCATGGCAAAACTAGATGGGGCTAGGTTCTTTTCAAAGATCAACCTTAGTAAAGGTTATTGGCAAATCCCAATTGAAATGGGATCTGAAGAGAAGACAGCATTTGTGATACAAGATGGATGTTACCAATTTAAGCAGATGCCATTTAGGTTAGTCAACTCAGCAGCAACATTCAATTGCATGATGAGGAAAAGGATGCGCACCACCACCACCAACATCGAGCACTATATGGATGACATTCTGACGCACACACTGTAAGATGGGAAGACCACCTGAAGAGACTTAGACAATTGTTCCGGTGAGTGAGGGCAGCAGGCCTCACCATCAGACCATCCAAGTGTTACATTGGATATTCTGTGCTGGAGTTTATTGGACATAAAGTGGGAGACCGACACATAGCCATCGAAAAGAAAAAGATAATCCGCATACAAAATACACCAGCTCCAATGACCAAGTAGCAAATCAGATCCTTCCTAAGGTTAGCAGGATACTACAGGAAATTCATCCCAAATTATGCTGAAATTACTGCACCATTGTCTGACCTGACCAAGAAAGGCTTGCTCAACAAGGTGACGTGGGAACAACACCAGATGACATTACAGAAATTAAAGAACATGTTGGGAAGCTCACCAATTCTTAGAATGCC